CATCTCTATAGAGCTATAGCTAGCCCACATTGATAACAATCAAGGCAAAGCACCTAAAAGTTGTGAAAGAGATGCCAAGAAAGTTCCAACTTGAAATCCTCACTAAACCAATACATCATAAAATGTGATTTCGCATTTTCCTTTCCGTTCACGTATTTGGCCCAGAAAACGCAGAGGGGCAATTCTGTGGCCGACACGAAAGTTAAATTTGATAAAACACTTTCTTTTAGTCCATTTTACCGATCGCCTTGCAATTAAAACACCAAAAATCTCGTTAATCTACAGCGAGAAAGTAATTATTTATTCTGAAAAATAACCGCTGTTTTCATTAGTACCACTTGGTTAATTTTATTAAGGCAATTAAGATTTACACGGGCTTTTATTGGCTCATTTGTAAAACAATTGCTTTTGTTATTTACATGTAAAAATACTGTTTTTTAATTGAATCTAACATTGGCATTTCACATTTATGTGATTGTCTACGATTGTCACGAATTTTTGTATTGGATTTAACCTTCAATAGATAATGTTTTTCTAGGATAATCTGGTTTACTTAACTGTTAAATAGAATGTTCCAATATTCAAGTATTTAGATGCATTTTCAAAAATTCATCACAATTGCCTACCCTTTTAAAATGAAGAAGGTTTTATAAAATCGCCATTTAGTTTTATAATGGTCATATAAGGTTACTGTAACCTCAAGGTATATAATTAGGTTATATAATTGATTTTACAAACATTTTATACCTATAACCTATAGTATTCGTTACCAGTGGGTTTATAAAAAAGTTTTATACAGTTTGCGGTTACCTATTTTATAAAACTATTTTTTATTAATTATTTGTGTTAAAAAAACAAAATCTTTAGTAATTGAAAAAAAATTAAGCATAGTATCAGCTTTCGACGTAACGCTTTTTCATAATTCATAAAATATTTAGCATATAATTTATAAAATAATATTATTCACATAAATATTTTAGTAGTGGGTTAAATCGAGCGAATGAAATAAGAACTGCAGATCAATGTCAAAAATGGCGAACCTACTTTTGAGTGGTTAGATGGTTGCCTATCAAAAGTTTTATAACATCACTTGTAGTGGCGAGAGTTACTACAATTTATATAAGAGTTTTAAAACACTTTAAGTAACCTAGATACAACTTTAAAACATAACTAGAACCGTAGGCTATATAAAATTACCATGCGCAATATAAGAGGGCTCAAGGTTGATACATTCTTTTCGCCATGATTTTTTTTATTAAAAATAAATGTAAATAGAATTTTATTACAAAAACAACTTAAGTGACCAAACCAACGTAAATTCAACACTTTGTTTTATAAACATAAGTAACGATAACCTTCATAAACTCCCCAAATAAGCTCTTTAAGGGGTATATAAGAGTTATATAAACATTTCTGTAACGAAATTAAGAAATTTAGGTTTTATAATTTGGGTAATATAACATTTATGGCAAACACTATAAAAACAAAAATGTTTATTGATAATTCAAATGGTAAAATTTCGAATATTTCATTTTTAGAGAGCAAGAAACGGCTGATTGATTTGTTTTAGCCCGTTATTAATTTGTTGCCCAAGTTAATGGTAGGCATGAAACAATAATTATATTTTACTTTGTCCTAAATACAGACAAAATTATAATTAATATAAATTTTCTCTTAGAAAAATTTACGAGGTAAAACATTTTTTAGGAATATCATTTTCTTAATACAGTTGTAATTAAAATTAATTTTCCCTACAAGAAAATTACAAAAGTTTCACTGCTAAAAGCATCTTGCAAATTTTGTTATCTTAAAGTTTCTTGTTCGGTATACAGAAAAACAAACTAAACTGCTTATTAAAAAGTGTTTTTACTGTAAGAATGGAATTTTAAAACCATTTATATCGAAATAATAATATCCTTGTCTTCCCCTATAATTTCATATTCAAATATACATATAATAGTTTAACCACTTTAATATAGAGATATTACAATGTTTGCCCGACAATTTGGCGCCTTAGGGGAAATGAAATTATCATAGGTTTACCAAAAATTTAGTGTTTTGTGGTTAAAAAGTTAAAAGTGTCCATGACATCATTAAGATAGGAACTGTTAAAATAAAAAAAATAAAATAGGTACTATTAAATAAGTGTTCTTGTAATAAGTGGTTAAAAAGTTGGTAAATATACTTAAAACAATTTAATATTTTTCAAACAAATACCAAAAATGTGGTTCTGCACTACTGAACTCTAATAATGGTATATTATGTATTATTACGCACGAGCGAAGCTTTCGAGCGAGTTTTTAATAAAAACGAGTGTCTAGAGAAGTTTATAAAACGAGTTGCATACTATACTTTATCTACGTCGAACAGAAATAACAATTTAAAGCCAATTTTAATCCATAAATATTTGACATTTGACGAATTTAACCTCACTTTTTCGCAATTTATAATAAAGCTAACTTCAGCCCGTGACTAAATTGACCAAAAGTCACTATTGCTAACTTTAGCCCGTGACCAAAGCGCCAAAAAATCACAGCTAGTCAATATAGGAGTAGATACAATATATTAGTACATAAACATAATATGCAAATTTTATAAACTTTTCCGGTTTGTAATGGTAATGGCCAGCATTACTTTTATACACATAAAAATATGTTACTTTCACCTTCATAAGTAACATATTATTGATAACATTTTCTAGTAAAAAAAGTTTTACATTTTACTAAAAATTGTAACATTAATACGTCCTGTCATAATTAATAAGTAAGAGGATATCCCAACAAGTTAGTTAATAATTTATAAAACTTTTAAGAAACTAATAAAACAATATAATCTGACATTTAAAACCTTAAATAGGAAACCAATATTTTATAGTAAAGTGAGTACCTGCTATTAACGCGTTAATAATTGATAATGCTTAATAAAACAAAATAAATAAGTAGGCATAAAAATTTTAATTAGCGCTATAGATATAGCTTTAAAGATAATTTGAAATATACATACATTATTTGTACAAATACCATTAATATCTAATAGGCATAATAGTCAAAAGAAACGTTTGTTATATTATATTTGTCCAAGGTAACTAACCTAGGCTAAGGTGTTATGTGTGGGAAACAGGAGTTTAAATATCTAAAACAGGCGAATTTTAAACATTAATTAATGTTAATAAGCTAAATTATGTATTTTTATTAATCGAGTTTTTTTAAGTTGGTCTTGACATTTATTAGTTAAAATGTCATTTTGGATACATTTTAGATTTTATAAATAACAAATAAAAATTTTTGGACTTTATTATCCATTTAACATTACCTAATTAACTTCTTATTTATAAAGTAACAGTTGATAAATTATTTAAAAATACATTGTAATGAAGTGGGAGGGCATAAGATGTGATTAATTATATCAATAATAAAGCCTCGAATAAAGTCAATTAAATATTTGGACAGTTTTTTTAAATTTAAATTAAATTATGGAATCTTTTTTAAGTTAATAACTTTTGAATGGTTGTAAAATTGCAGAATTTCACTTTAAAACTATAAAAAGGTTTTATAAAACGCCATTTAGTTTAAGAGTTTTATAATGGTCATATAAGGTTAAAAGCACAAACATAAACAATAAGCAATTTATATTACTTATGGTAACGATAAGTTACAAAAAAGTTAAGTGTATAAAGGTTGTTAAATTATATAAGAGTATAACAAGGTTTTATAAAATCGCAATTTTTATTAATTATGCTAACGATAAGTTATATAAAGGTTATATAAGGTTAGATGGTTGCCTATCAAAATTTTTCATTACAATTTATATAAGGGTTTCAAATTTTTTCTAACATCATTACAATTTATACTTATAAGAGTTTCAAAATTATAAAAAATTCTTTGAGTAACCGTTTTTGTATTTTGAAATGTGCCTTGGGGAAAAAGAAATATTAAAATTAAAAAAACTGCAGTACCATGCATGGTAACATATATATTCTCAATATCATTTTGAGTCATGTCTATTAGGGTGGGTTGAAAACAAAATGCTTGTTTTTTTTTCTTAGTATTGGGGTAGAATTTGTACCGTATAAAAAAAGAAAATTTTAAAAAATAAAATGTTTTACTCGTTGCAACTACCCCATTTGATTAAATATTTATTTAAAAAACGAGTGGGCGACCTCAAGATAATAAGTAAATTTTTTTTTTCTTTTGAAAAATTTTCTTTTTTTATAAGGTACAAATTCTACCTCGTTCTACCCCCATGCTAAGAAAAAAAACAAACATTATGTTTTCAACCCACCCTAATGTTTATAAGGACATCGAAACCAATACAAACCACATTATATAACTTTAGGTGTCCATTCTTTAAAAAGTGACTTTCAAAATATTTCTGTGTTACCTTTATATATAAAACTTAGGTTTTATAGTGTTACCCAACATAGGTAACGATAAACTTTATAAACTCCTAAAATAAGCTTTTTAAGGGGTATACGAGTGATATAAATATTTTTGTAACCAGATTAAGAAATTTTAGTTTTATAATTTGGGTGATAAATATTTGTTTTAATAATTATATATATATTATATAAATAAATTTTATAATCTGGAAATTTACAAACAATAATAAAGGGCCTTTTTTGAAAATTTTCCCAAAAATATTCATTTTATTAGAGGGCAATATACCAGTGAAAGCACATTAAAATAATAAAATAAAAATATTCCGGTGAATTCACCATAATTTGAAGTACCTACTTATAAAAACATACATTTTACTATTTTAAATAGTAATTTATAAAAAAAGAGGTAAATAATTCTAAAAATTGTTCATTTCTATACTGGAAGTTGTTCCAGCATTTTCACAATTTTCGTAACTTCAAAATAAACTAAAAATAGTTCATTGCAAAACCCACTTTGACCAGACTCAAACTTACTAGACAAACATTTATTTTGGCGTAAACGATCGAAACTTCGTCGATTTCCCCCTCGTCAAACATTTAATTAAAAAGTAAACAAACAAACCTTGGAATCAGCGCTCGTCTGCAAGTAGTAGACAACCACGAACATCCACGATACAGAGAATAACAGCAAAACTTTAACATTTCTACGCATTTTGCGGTGATTTTCAGTCACAAAACTCCACTCAATACCCGAACACAGAACTCATCTAGTCGCCTCGCCAAAGCACCCTTCATCGGCAAACGCGAACACGATACTGAAACGTCAGGCATTTCTGCTGAATATCGGCGATTCCCCCATCTCCTATCTCGCTCTCTCCCACACGGAAAAACGAAGACACCAACAGTCACTCGCGCTTTACCTATCGATATTGTTTTACATTCTCTGAAGCATTCTAGGCAGCATTGTCAGATTTATCTCTAGGAAGCATAATAAAGGGCGGCCGATAGAAAAAAGGTAGCGAATGTGTGCAATAAAACACAGCATCAAAATTGTTTACTACTCTCCTTTTTATTTTTATAATATTATGATAATTCAACAAAATTCGTTTATATTAATACTCACTTTATTTTCATTCATAAAACAAACATGTTTTCCTTTATTTACTAACAAAAACTATTTACCTACAAGGTTTCTTAATTAAAATAAAATACAAATGACATTTATACGGCAACATTGCATTATTATGCAATTAAAACTAGATTGAACACATTAAGAAACCATCTTGGATATTAATTTCAGCAATTATTAATATTACCATTAGCAATTTAACAATATATATTGATTATTTTTAAAACAATAAAATTTTAAATTTATATTTATATTGCTCATACTCGCCAACTATTGGTAGTAACTTTAAGCACTACAACATTTTTACAGACATCTGTAATTTTACAAAGATCTATAGTCCATTCCATTTAAGAATAAAGGAGATGTCGCTGCAAAACGAGACAGGTTTACACAGGAGTACGCGGCAAATTTAAATATAATGACGGTTGTCTTTGATAGAATATTAATATGTTACAACAAATATATTGCATATATGCACAAATCATAGCAACCGTGAATGTCCCATACCATGAAAAAATAATTTACTATAATAATTAAGACCTTTAGACATGTATTATATTATTTACAGAAAATAAGAAGAAATAAACAATAATTTGAGCAACATAACCTCAATAATTTAACTGCATTCCTTATTTAAATGTCAGTTCATTTTTTTGATGTGGAAAATAGTACATATTTTAATGTTTTAATAAATTTTTATGATTTTATAATATAAAAATTTAGTTATTAATAAGTAGACCGAGTTTTATTAAAAATGTAAGATAAATTAAATGGTAAATGAACGGAAAAAAATAATTTTTTCTTTGAGTGTAAGCATACATTCATGGATTTGAAAAGTGCATTTTTTAATATAAAGTATACATAATATAGTATACATAATATGACATATATGTACCTATATGAAATTTGTTTATTTTTTCTAAAATAACAAACAGCGAACCATCGTTCATGGTTTATTACGGTTCGTTATAAGCAATTGCTACTAACATTATTTGCTAAGGAATATTTAATGAAATTGATCGAATGAAATTAATTAATCTATTATTTATTCATCGATTTATATTTTAACATATAATGAAATTTGGGTGTAAGAAATTAACCGATATCAAGAAAATAAAATAGCTATTGTAAAAATTTGGATTTTTTTACATTCATTCTGAACAACTTACATATGAAGACCCTACGTAGGGGGTAAGTACTTACCCGACTGAAAAAAGTTATTTAAAAAATTAAATCCAGTTTTTTTTTAAGTAAGGCTTAAATAAAATACAAATGCAATTAATGAAGGTTTTATTAAAAAAACAAAATTTTACAGAGACAAATCACGTCAAAATGGCCTCCCAATTTCCATGCTGCTGATGGATTTTTTTTAATTTTAACAGAATGATAGGGGGCATTATCCATCACAATAACAATGTTCTTTTTTATTTTTGGTAAAACATTTTTTATCCAAGTCTCAAAAACAGTTCCTTTCATATCCTCCTGATAATTCTCTGTTGACTTTTACTCAAATACATTTACACACCTTGGGCTTTGTGTCCTGCATTGATCCAAAACTCATCCATGTAATATATTTTTTGATCCTGTAATCGATAACTCCTGATATCAATATATTTTCTTCTACAAATTACTATTTTACTTTTTTTAACCAGTAAATGATTCCTACACCTTTTTTCATACTTGAAGTCAAGTTTTTTTAAAATTCTCCATAAATTTGTCCAAGAAATTGGTGGTAAGTTATTATCCTTTTTGGCCTAAAAAAAATGAAAAACAGTTAGTTTATACACACGTTGTATGTTTAAATAATAAAAACTTATTTATTTAAAGCTAAACCCATTTTTATTATTTGACAGCACCTGGTATACCTACCCTCTATTTTATTTATTATTTACATTAAGGGAACATTTTTCGAATCAATTATTAAACATATTTCAATAACATAATTACTTACTCAATAAATTTTACTTAAATTTGGTATTTTATTATTTATAAAAAAGTTATGAACAACTTTTCTTAGGTGCTTCTTTTGTTCCTCACTTAATTTGTCATATTGATTTGCCAGCTTTCTTTTCTTTAATGGAGATGTAGCCCTTATGTCCTGTGATGTAGCCTTTCCGTCATGTTCCATTTGTTTGATGGTGAACCAAATGGAACTTTTTGAAATACCAGTTTCTTACACTGGCACTTTTTGATTTTCCTTCATCGATATGTTTTTCACCATATTAAAAAGTATTATTTTTTGACCTCGTCCTATATATTGGCCAGATTTGTTTTTTAGGACAGAGGGTTGGTTTTCCACATTGTCCACATTGTTTATATTGTCCATATTATCAATATTGTCTCTCAAAAATATAAAAATATTTTTCTTTGGTTATGTTAAGCGATTTTAATGTAATTGACTTACCTGTTTTTCATTAAAAATTTATTAACAACGGTTAATACGTTAAATAAAGCCAAAAAATCACAGAACATGTAATAAATTAACAAAATATACACTTTGAATTATAACAGCTGATGCTGCGTTGCCAATGTGCGATAAATCCAACCTTTTGAAAAGATAAATTCTTTCTATATTTAAAATATTTTTGACAAATTGCCGACAAAAGCTAATATAATATAATTTTATAATTTAAATATTATAAAAACTCTTGCTGGTTTATTGTATACTCAATGGTATAATATTATTATGTCAGTTTGCAAATTTGTTTTTAGAAGCCATGGCAACGCTGTATAAGAAAATATTCAGTGTATGAGAACTACGTTATATCAGAGAGAGAGAGAGGTTATATCAACATCCAACGTATTAAAAAGAGATGGGTTATAAATTTTCGCCTGTGTAAAAAAAGCCACAATTTTAAGCGTCGTGATTGGTCTATAATAAATCCTATTCAACTCAATGCTTTTTTCTTAAATGGAATGGACTATAGGGAAATTTATTTTTTAAACCTGGCAAGTTCCGGTGGCAACTCCAGGGGGGTATAAGGGGAATTTGACAACAGGCAACAGTAAAATAAATCTAGCGTGCGTTGAAACCCAAGTTGTTTTTGACAGACCCCAGTTATTAACCACGTGATTCTTACTTTGTTGTGATTGGTCTTTTCCAACTTGTTCGTTGATGGTCGGTTTGAGAAATTACAAATGGCCGACAGTCTTGTTGAAGTGTTGTGTACGAAGTTTTATAATCCAAATTTTCTTTGTTTTAGGTAAGTAAACTTGTTAATTTCGGCTTTAACATTTTATTAGGTGTTTTTAGTCAAGTTTGAGTTAGTTGTAGCATCATTACCGCGTTTAAAATAAGAAAATACGTGTGATAAACCGTATCGGTTTTTTTCTCTATGTTTACCGAAAACACATGTGAAATGTAGTTACGATAAAACAAATAAAATTCTTTTTATGTAATGAAACCTATGGCAAAGAGTAAAGACTCTTACTCTTTGCTTATGGGTTGTTTAACTAATGCAAGTTTTGATAGAATTTAAATAGTTTTAAAGCGTTTTGATTCAAAACTTTCAATCAAAACAGTTTTTAACGTTTTTTTTCTCGACACTAGTTGCTGTTATACAAAATGTTAAATATAGGTACCTATAATCTTTGTCAAAATGTATGTTTTTGTTAAAATTATTTGATGTAGCTACGCGAAAACTGGACCTGGGTCCAGGGCCCCACTACATTGGCATTTGGTGGAGCGGAGGTTATTGAACGAACAGCCCCCTCATCGGTGGATCGGATGTAAAGGGCCCAACAATTTGGCACTTCATGTATGGTCAACATGTTCAACCGATCTCACAGTGTGTGACTTCTTTCTCTGGGGCTTTATAAAAGATAACGTGTATGAGCCCAAGATTTGTAAAAGCTGAATACACGAATTGGAACTGCCGAGTATCTACAAGATGTTTGCAGCTGGAAGAGGTCATATTAAACACTTGTAAGCATACAGTTCAAATCTTGATTATATTACAAATGTTTTGTGCTTTTCATGTTTTTTTTACATTAATATAGCATTTTGAACTACAGGGTGATAATCTTTTACAGTATTTTTATAGTTATTTTATTTGAAGGGGTCAATGCAAAAAGTGTCTTAAGTCACATTTTCAATTAAATTGTTATTCTGGCTTCATCTAAGAGTTTTCACATAAGTTGAAAACCAGGCAAACTCCCATTGAAGTAAATGCAAACTAAGGCGCTTGGGCACATATTTCTGCCACTTTGAAAATACCACCTGAAACCTTACGTGAAACACTCTTAGATGAAGCCACAATGTAAATTTAATTGAAAATGTGACTTAGGCACTTAAGTGCAAGAATTCTTGCATTGACCCCTTCATTTGTTCTATCATTTTTAATGTACATAAATAACTAGACAATTCATAAGCAAAGCTTTTAAAGAATTATTTTTAAAGTTTTTAATTCAATTATTTTTTGCTACAATATAAATTGATTTTAATTTAATATAATTAATTTTAGCTTCTGCGATAATGGAACAATTAGACAAGATTTATCCTGCATGAAGAAAAAGAATGAAAGCTTTACTTGTCAATGCCAAACAGAAATATTTGACCAAATTTTTTTAATAATAGGTAGATATATATTTTTTTTATTTAGAATACATTTTTAGTTACAATTGGTGGTGTGTGAATATTTTTACCAAATAAATTATGTAGTAATATTTAATTCAAACTTAAAATTAAATATTTAAACTACATAAATAGTTTGAATTATTTGAATAGTTAAATAATTAATCATAATCTATTCAAATAAGTTAATTAAGGGTTAATGACAAGTAAATAACATTCTTTTTATTTAAAAATAAATTTTAAATTACAATTCCAATGTTCCATTTCTTCAATTACTATTGAAAAATTTTAATTTTCTAATTGAACCATTTAAAAATTTGAAACATTCAAACTATTCAAATAATTCTTGAATTCAATATTCACACATCCATAGTTACAATCCAAATATAAAAAAAGTAAAAGCCTGACCATTAAAGAAAGTACACTTTTAGTATTTACTCCAAATATAATTAAATTGTTTATTGTTAGAACAAGCAATCTGACATTTTTATATTACATACACTTTTGCTTTAAATTATTATTTTGGGGCAGACATATTTTATTTAGCAAGATACACATTATGATATTAAAAAAGGATATTTTCATGTTAAAACAGCACAAGTTCACCGTTATTAGTTTTTATAAGATTTTTAAAATAAAAAAATAAACAAAATCATATTTAGTTAGTTACTTAGCTTGTTTTTACAATAAACCATTCAATTATTTTTATGCTGGTAAAACAATTACCTTTAGCATAAATAAGTAGCATAAATATTGATGCATTATTTTTATTTAATTTTAAACATTATTAGGTAATATCAATTGTTTTACAATTTAAATTGATTTTAAAATTGATATTGATTTCAGGTTTGGGTTTGTGTTAATGGAAGAAGCAGACAGGACTTGAATTTATCAAACTTCTTTGCAAAAGAACATAGAAAATATTAATTGCAGTTGAATATTCTTCATTGAATCAAGAAAAAGACGCAGGTTCAATCCATGAATTATGAACAAGAAAAAAGACAATTAATACTTAATATTGACCAGAAAGTTAAATCATACATAAAGATTTTAATTTTGCCTAATACATAATTACAATATTTTTAACATTGAGATTTAAGTGGTTCTATTGATTATTAATTTAAATTAAACCAATTTTACTAAAAATTAAATATTCCAAAGAATGTAATTTAATTTTTGGATAAGTAGGAATTCCTTTTTGCCAAAAATTCTATATTTTACAAAACTACAGTATTGTGCTTATTTAAAAAACAAATTATAATCATAATTCCTAAAAATTATAAGAGCATGGTTTGTAATAAGTCTAATTATTGCATTAAACATTTTAGGCATTAGCCTTTTGGTTTTTCCAATAAAAAAATTTAATACCACATTAAGAAATCTGAAAATAACTATAGGGTATACAATAAGTCAGTATGTATTAGAAAATTATTTATTTTTATGAATTACATATTCAAATTTAAACTAATTTTAATTATACTTGAACTGTTTTTTAAAAGGTTGTTTTCTAATAAGGACCAATAAGTATTGAACTATTGCTTATCAAGAATTTATCAAATATTTTGATGGTTTGTAATATGTTTTAGAGTTAATTTGTTTAATAAACCTTTGCATTTTTATTAGGAAATCTTAAAAAACCTACAAAAATTGTTATTATGTGACACAAAATTAAAATTTCTGAAAATTATCGCTGTAATCAAGCGATAATTGTCTTGTAGGCATATATAAGAGAGTAATTATCAATTTAATGTCATACTTTTTGATAAATTATACCTAGATAATTATAAATTATTATACATGTTTGATATTATTATTAAACCTTTTTTTAAATTTCACTAATTTATAGAATAATTAACTTTGAATTTCTCCTCATTTAAATATTATTTGTTAGTTATACTTTAATTTAAAATTGAATTAAGTGTATATTTTGTTAAATATATTTATTAAAAAAAAACAAAAATGTGTGTTTTTCCACTTAATTAGTGGAAAATAACCGAAAATTGTCGAAATTTTATATTTTTTGATTTTTAATGGACAATATTACGTATATAATCCTTTTAAAATCAAAAAAATATAAAATTTAAACAATTTTCGGTTATATTTCCTTGTTTTAAATAAAAATTCAAATAGCCAAACATTCAAATTTCCCGCAAAAAAACAACTCGGTTTTCCAAGCCTGCTAGATTTAAAAATCAACCAATGCTTGTTGCCACTTTTGACTATAGCGCTTTTAATTCTCTTATGTTCTGTGGGCAACTCTGCCATGGAGACTCCACGCAACATCTTTTTCCACGCCATGGTCAACCCGTTGGGTTTGTGTTTTTTATTATTTAATATTTATGTTATTATAAACTTAAAATCATGTTTATGACTTAAAAAGTGCCGAAAAATGTCTGCTAATGTTATGTGTGTGTCTTCCGCTAGCGGTCTGCCGATATTTTCGAGGAAAAAAGGAAATGCTGAAAATGTGTGAGGTTATGTTAACAATAACTGTATATTTACCATATTGTTTCAGTTGCCCTTTTCCACGATTGGTTCTTTGAATGGGGTTCATATGTTTGGTAAACCTATTAATTTGGAGGTATTAAATACTGTTACAGAAGATTATTCGGTCGCTTGGAAGGAATATCATGATTGGTATATATTTTTAATTAATTCGGCTGGTATTTTAATTGTAGATTTTAGTGTTAAAATCATTGGTATAGCAAGTGGTTGCTCAGTTGAGATACTCACTAAACTGCTAGATTCGGTGTTTAGTGCTGTAGTTTTGATTGTGGGTTTGGAGGAAATAAAAAGTCAAAGAAATATCGAGCGATTAAAAAGGGAGTTAAGGGTTTGTTATCCGATAATAGACAGATTGTTGGATTCTTTGGATTGCGGGGATTCAACAAATAAAAATTCTTCGGATTTAGTGGGGCTGGCTGAAGTGATATTGTGCACAGAAAATCACTTAATACAGGTATACAAAAGTGTATTTGAAAAAGGGGTAGACATTTTTTTTGTAGATTGTTTTAGATTCGTTCACTGAATGTGTTGACTCCATGTTTAGTAGTATTTTGATACATGGAAAAGTTGCTACAGCCACAGAAAGTTGGTGGAATTTACATCCTGATGAAATAAAGTTGCTGTCTATTTTAGCTAATTCCGAAAATTCGAATATTTCTAAAGATATTCCTGTATTTTTGCCATATAAAAGTCCTACGGTAAGTTTATTAATAAAAAATGTAAATTTATATATACATAAATAAAAACAGTTAAATACAGCTTATAAATAATAAAAATATTTAAATAAATTATTATTCAATATTAAAGTTTGGGTTACCAAAATTATTTTATTAATGCTACAAAATTTAAGCTTCCTGGAAAAACCTTCAGGTGCCTTTTTGAGGTCAAAAATATCAATTCAGTGATTTTGCTTACCTGTATACTACAAAATAAATTTATTTTCATTTAATCCCTGAGGTAGTTTTGGGTGTTAGGTACAAAGAAAAAGGTATATTTAATTTTTGCTTTGTGTTATGTTCATTTGTGTTTATTCATTTGCAGTAATAAGTTGATAAGTTTTTGGTTGTGTGATATTTGTGTAAAAAATGCCAAACACACGTAAAAAGATTGATTTTAACTAGTGTTTTAGTTTTGATTGTATAACCTGTAAGTACAATTATAGTTTCTTATACAAGGTGTCCCTTAAATGCCTGTACACAATGATATTTCTAAGATCGAAATAATGCGGTATAACCACAGACCTGTGGGTATAACTAAATTTACTTCTATACTAAAGTTGATACAGGGTGTCAAAGTTGAAGGTTTGTTTCCGATTTTATTAAATAACTTTGAAAAAAAAACGTTATTTCACAAATTTTGATTTATGGGTTTTTTAGACGAAAAAATTTATATTTTTATTAAAATCTGAATACACTAAGGAGCAAAAAAAAGATGTGGCCATTTAAAACTATGCAAAGTGTTGCAGATAGACCCTCTTTACATTCTAAATTAATTTTATAAAAAAACAAATTTGTGCCAAAACCTATTGTAAAGAGGTAAATTTAGTTTGCATTATTTTGGTTTTAGTAAATTTTGTATTATTTTGTACAAGCATTTTAGGGACACCTTGTATATTTTATGTACATAAATTATTGCGGAAATTACAAAAAAAAAACCTTTTCAATAAATGTCACGCGGGTTTTTGTTATTTAAAAGGCTATTTTTAGCACAAGATAAGTTATAATAAGATAACCAGCGGCGGATTACCGCACAGGCGGATGAGGCGGCAGCCTAGGGCCTCGCGAAGCGGGGGCCTCAGTGTTGTGATTTGGTTTATTTTTCCCTAGTTTTGGTGGCCGCAAAACCGTGAATTAGGGTTAAAAAAACGCATTTAAATAATTAGTTGCCTATTTAATATGTTAGAAAGTTCGAAATTTAATAATTTTTTTGTTTATTTGTTAATAATTTTACTATGTAAAGTGTAAATATATTAATTGTTGTAAGTATTGAGTAAGTATTGTAACCTTATTTAGAACATTTAAAAAATGTACATTATGTATAAATATTTAGTTTAGTAGTTCAAGTGTGTATGACAAAATAGGTTAAATGTACTATTTATGTCAAAATTATTAATATACGAGGTAACACAAAACAAGGTTTGGTTCTATTTTTAAATGGAGATATTTTGAATGTTTGTCGACCTCTAGGCCCTTTATAGCGATAATGTTATTGTGTTTATACATATTCAATGTTTGTGTTAAAGCCCTAATTTAGACTAAATTGTACAGCATCTATAGACAATTTTTATAAAGTTTATATCATTTGCGAATACAAAAAACAGGTAAGCAAAAATAATAATATCAATAACAATTAATTTAACTTTATTAATATTTTTTAAATTATTATAGCCATTGAACGTTAAGATGAAAAGAACGTACCAGTCCGGTGCTGAGAAACGAAAACGGATTAGAAAAATAGAGAAATGTGCAGTACAGCAAAAAAATTATGTAGCTAGATTTCTAGCAACTCGATCTGATCGTTGTTCAGTTGTTAGATTATGAATATTTAATCGATAAATTTGCCAGAATGAAGGCAAGAAAAGTAGAACTTTAAATAAAAACACGGGCAAAATTTTATTGTTTTTTCTTTTAAATGGAAATGTTTTTATTCTAAATATCAGAATATATTTTTATTTTTAATGTTATATATTTTTATTTTTAAAAGAATATATATTTTTTTTTAATAGTATTTATGTTTATTATTAATAGTATTTATTTTTAATAGAATATATATTTTTTTTGTTCATTTAAAAATAAATAAAACAGTATGATTTTCTGCAATGTTTCTTTTACTAAACCATTACATTTAAATTGGGGTATACCCTATAGGGGGCCCCCAGATCAGCTTCCGCCTGTGGCCCCACAAAATCAAGATCCGCCACTGAAGATAACCCATAATTTTATATCCAAAATCAACAATAGTGATAAAAAAGTCACAATTCTGATTATGGAGCTGACCGTGGAGATTCCTCGTGCAACACTGAGGATTCTTCCTTAATATTGCACGAGGAATCTTCATTTTCTTCTTCCCGTCTTCGTTTTTCTGGAGTGGATAGTAACTTTTTTAAGAAGATGAATACAAAGAAAAAGATGGAAAAACCATGGGGTTTAACCTCATGATATTCCACTTCGATTTTCTATTTTAAATGAAAATCGGAGTGGAATATCACAGGGTTCAACCCCATGATTATGCTGATGAATCAGGGTGAGTTTTTTTTTCAAAGTGTTAAACAATATGCTAGTTATTAAATAATATTTAAGAACAATGAATGTTTTGTTTTAATGTGTGTATTTTATTAATTTTTACTAATGATTTTTTATATAAAAAACATATACTTAGGCACCTACATTATATGCGTATTATTTACAATATCTACATACCAAAAATACTATACATAATTATTTAACATAATTTTTACTGTTATGAACTAGGGTGGCAACATATGGGAAACTTTTTTATTATTTATTTTAAGAAAAAAGTTATTCTTCAAAAAAAAAAGTTCTGCATATTCTAAAATCTAAAATACAATCAGATATAAAAAAAAATTCAGTTGTATACGCTGTTTGTCAAAAAATATGAATCTTACTCAAGAGAAAGTAGACAGTATTTGACAATATCAAAAATTCTTGTTAAAAAAGTTAATCAAAACTAAAAACTACGTTTAAATATGCAATTACTTCCATTTAATAATAATAATAATAATGAATTTATTTAGCATCAGTGCTACATAAAAAATAACAATTTACATATTTACATAAAAAATACAACGAAAAAAAAATAGAAAAGATGAGAAAACCATGGGGTTTAACCTCATGATATTCCACTTCGATTTTCTATTTTAAATGAAAATCGGAGTGGAATATCACAGGGTTCAGCCCCATGATTATGCTGATGAATCAGGGTGAGTTATTTTTTCATACAGTGTGTCCTGAGTTAAACAATATTCTAGTTATTAAATAATGTTTTGTTTTAATGTGTGTATTTTATTTTATTTTATTAATTTTTCTAATGATTTTTTATATAAAAAAACATATATGTATATATATATATAGACATCTACATACCAAAAAACTATATTAAACATAATTTTTACTGTTGTTTACGATGGTTCTTAAGGGCCATCACTATGATTTTTTTAGCAAAATCAGGCAGTGCCAGATTTTAAGTCGCAGTGCCAAATTTTAAGTCGCACTGCCAGATTTTAAGTCGCACTGCCAGATTTTAAGTCGCAGTGCCAAATTTTAAGTCGCACTCCAGATTTTAAGTCGCACTGCCAGATTTTAAGTTGCACTGCCAGATTTTAAGTCGCAGTGCCAAATTTTAAGTCGCACTGCCAGATTTTAAGTTGCACTGCCAGATTTTAAGTCGCACTGCCAGATTTTAAGTCGCACTGCGAGATTTTAAGTTGCACTGCCAGATTTTAAGTCGCACTAAGAGATTTTAAGTCACAGTAGTTTCGAATGTAAATAATATAATAATTATAAAGTATGTATAACATAATAATTTGTTTATTTATTTAGGTAGATAGGTAGATTGAAAGTAAAACAATTATTTAAGACGCATACATTTTTATTATATAGATGTTTTTTATAATAAATGTCTATAATGGAAATATAAAAAATATTTTGGTTTATAAATAAAAAAATAAATTACCTATATCTGAAAGAATGGTGATAAAAAATGTCTTGTCAAGCAAATGCAAATGTTTGTAAATTATCACTATTTCAAGATTTTCCCTATTTATAAAAGGAAATTAAGTACTATCGTCCACAACAAAATCGCCCACTTTGACATTTCATTGAGGAACGCAGCCTTTTGTTCACAAGACATTGTATATTCAACGTAAGTTTAAAGTAAAATTGTATTTTAACGTTTGCATATCATTGACATGCAAACGTAAACATACAATTTTACTTTAAAAAAATTACGTTGATTATACCATATACCTATAACTTATAGGTATATGGATTATACCACAGATTATACAACTTATGGATTATACAATGCCTTGTAATCAAAAGGCTGCGTTCATCAATGAAATGTCAAAGTGGGATGTGCATAGTACATTTGGTTTTAAAATAAAAAATAATTCTCCTTCCTAAAAGAGGCAAATCTTTATGCAAACCCAAATGTTTTTGAATTTAGGAATGCAAAATCCATAGATATTTTAAAGTCATCATAATCCATATGACAGGTCGGAATCCTTAATTCAGTGACACATGTATTAGCTGTTGGATATCTACCATCACCTTGAAGAAATGTTAATCGGGCGTCAAATGGAAAACCTAATGACGGTATAGCATCTGCCCCAGTAGCAAATACTAAAATATCCAAATTTTCTGAAAATTGTTAAACAATAAAATAAAACTACAAATTCACCACCACCGTAACATTTAGAACACACACGACTAACAAAGTTTGTTAGTTAAACAAACTTTACCTTCTGCAGTAGTTTCATGTGACATGTGACTTTATATCTGGCAGTGCGACTTAAAATCTGGCAATGCAACTTAAAATCCGGCAGTGCGACTTAAAATCTCGCAGTGCGACTTAAAATCTGGCAGTGCGACTTAAAATCTGTCAATGCGACTTAAAATCTGGCAGTGCAACTTAAAATCTGACAGTGCGACTTAAAACCTGACAGTGCGACTTAAAACCTGGCACTGCGACTTAAAAACATGCACTGCCTGATTTTTCTAAAAAAAACATAGTGATGGCCCTTAAGAATACAAAGAAAAAGATGAGAAAACCATGGGGTTTAACCTCATGATATTCCACTTCGATTTTCTATTTTAAATGAAAATCGGAGTGGAATATCACAGGGTTCAACCCCATGATTATGCTGATGAATCAGGGTGAGTTATTTTTTCATACAGTTTGTCCTGAGTTAAACAATATGCTAGTTATTAATTAATATTTTATAACAATGAATGTTTTGTTTTAATGTGTGTATTTTATTAATTTTACTAATGATTTTTTATATAAAAAAACATATATGTATATATATATACATATATAGACATCTACATACCAAAAAACTATATTAAACATAATTTTTACTGTTGTTAACTAGGGTGGCAACATATGGGAAACTTTTTTATAATTAATTTTAAGAAAAAAGTTATTATATATATATATATATTAGGGTGTGCCAAAAAAACTCGAAATAGTTTTTTTCTTGCTCTCCACCCAAAATATCGTAGAATATGTCCGAACAAATATTCTGTTAAAAGCGGAGCTCATAATTTCAATTTTAAGAGGTCCCTCATCGAATCTGAAGTTTTGCCGCTTAAATACCACAGAAAACTGACCTTTTTACCTTATTTATTCTTGCAACCTAGGAAGAAATTGTTTTTTCATAAAATCCATGACCAAATCTTACAAAGCATTAAACTTGGACGAAAAAATCTTATTAAGCCAAATTTCTATTTTCATTATTTAATTTTTTACAGAGCTTTAAATTTAAAATTTTACGTTTTTTGCCTTTTTCAGCTAAACTATAATTGAAGTTAGACGAAAAAGTCAAATGGTAATTTTTTAGCTTGTCTGATGGACGACAAAAAAGTTTTGGGCGAATTTTTTATATCGTCAATATTCTAAAAGTTACAGGCGTATAAAGTCATCATTTTTGTATTATCTTTAAATTTAAAGCTAAGTAAAAAATTAAATAATGAAAATAGAAATTCGGCTTAATAAGATTTTTTTGTCCAAATTTAATGCTTTGTAAGAATTAGTCATGGATTTTACGAAAAAAAAAATCTTCCTAGGTTGCAAGAATAAATAAGGTAAAAAAGTCAGTTTTCTGTGTTATTTAAGCGGCAAAACTTCAGATTCGATGAGGGACCTCTTAAAATTGAAATTATGAGCTCCGCTTTTAACAGAATATTTGTTCGGACATATTCTACGATATTTTGGGTGGAGAGCAAGAAAAAAAAAATATCGAGTTTTTTTGGCACACCCTAATATATATATATATATATATGTTCTGCATATTCTAAAATCTAAAATACAATTATCACATAAAAAAAATTCAGTCAAATACGCGGTTGGTCAAAAAATATGAATCTTACTCAAGAGTAAGTAGACAGTATTTGACAATATCGAAAATTCTTATTAAAAAACTACGTTTAAATATGCAATTACTTCCATTTAAATGAATTTTTTTCTTCTTTTTTTTGCAATAACAAAGCAAATGTAACTATAGTTAGATGCACTGACAAAAAAATAATTTGTTGATAGCAAGAAATGTTTTTAAAAAATAAAAAAGAAATGTTCAGTATCATTAATTTAAAAAAAAATCGTAAAAAAATGTTTTAAGTAAAAGGATGTGTGCCAACTTATGTAGACACACTGTATATGTATATTGATATAAGTACATTAGATGCAAAACTCTGTATTTGCAGGATAAGTGATTTTAAGAAAAGCATGAAAAACCGCTAATAAGATCATTTTTGAAAAAAAATGCAAAAATTGTATAGACGTGCTTTTGCATCATTTTTATTCAAAAAAGTAAAAAAAAATCCTTTAAAATTAGGTGGTTTAGTAAATAATTGAAATCAACAGATTTGGAAACACAGTTTTGCATCTTCCTCGTTCAAAGACCAAGTTTTGCAATTAAAAAGTGCAAATACCAACAAAATAAGAATTAATCAGGTAATTGTTATGTCGTCACGAAATGTGTGAACTAGCGACGTGATTGGTCAACAGCAAATACCGAGTTTTGCATCTACGTTAAGTTTTTAAATGTATTTTATTCTAAAAATATTAACTTATGCATCTGGTTTACTTAGGTATGCTGTAGGTAGTGCAGTAATGTACATAAATATGATAAAATATATATTTTTTAAAAATGTGCAAAAACCGTGTTGCACAGAACAAACCAATTGATGATCGTTTACTATTGTAATTTTGGTTGCCTACCGCGGCAACAGCAATAGATATTTTCCAGGATCTAATTAAGAGAATTTGTCTAATTTTGTATTAGAACACAATGGTGGCCGCTTCCTTTGTCACACCCTGTATAAGTAAATCATTTTAGGTGGCATTTAGATTTGTAGCGTTAAAATTAATTTCTGATGTTCAACTGTGTTGCTTATGTGGCCCAGCCCCAGTTTTAAAGGATATAGAGCATTCGGCAACGCAGTGTTTCAAAAGTTCTGCAGATATTTTTGCCACAGCCGTTCAGTGCCACCCCAGGAATTTCCCTAGCTCTACACAGCTAGACAGCAGCATTCTAGGGTAAATTATTCGACGAAAGATCAGGTTTGGTTTTTTAATGTTAATTTCAGTTTTTTGCTGCTGAATACTTCCCAGGGAAAATACGTAATCTCCAAAAATCCGCAGCAAAACTCCACCAAGAAACCGGCCAGCAGTTCGCACAGACTCGACATCCTGAGAACATTTTTCTATCAAGCCGTCACGTGCTTTTTAGTTACAGAAGACTTCAAAATAGAAAATAGTAATTACAAAGAAACTTCCAAAGATCAGTTGGATGTGGATGATTTAAATATTGGTACTGAAACCTATTGGTGTTCAGAATATCATAAATGTCACGCTATGAAGATTAATGATAATATTTTGTGCGTTTTGTATGGCTCCAGTGTTCCAACACATGCTATGAGACTGATTACAGAGAAAACATTGAAAATGTTGATTTCTGATAAGCAAGTTTGTTGGTAAAATATATTTTATTTAATGTACCGTGATTATTCCGTCCTTTTTATACTCTTTTACTATAATATGTGATGTATACAGTATTTTTATATACAATAAATACTTTTGTAAGTTTTCACTACTGTTTTTTTTTCTTCAAACAATTTAAAAGCAAATGTCATTTTGACGTAAATGGATTATTCCGAAGTTTCTTGTGATGCATCAGAAGACAAACCATCAAACGTAAAAATATCCCTTAAGTATGGTAAACCAGTGTACAGAGTGACATTTAACGCAATCCAGTTTTTATACACCCTATTCATTTTGGATGTAACTCTATGCATAATAGGTGCAATAGCAACCCTTACATCATCAGTGCAGGTTGGAAGGCATTTAGGGCACTTTATTAACTTGGTTTCGAATGGCGATGGTAATTTGGTACCGATTTTGGAAGGCATACCTTCATTTTTATTCATTGTACTGAATATAGCGGAATTTTGGGCTTTATGGAAGATATTTGAGCCTGATAAGTATTCCGTCAACATGAACAGAATCCTGTTTATTCTCATATTAATCTCACTTGGGATTGTTTTAATGGTTATTATATTCATGATCGTTATTTTGGTCGAAATATACCGTCCACATGGACAGGTGCATGATGGTATCATTGAAGGTATGAATAAATACGCTAACCATTCCCTAATAAAGGCCACAATAGATATGGTACAGATAGAGTTTGATTGTTGTGGATCCAAAAAATACGACGAATGGTATACAATACCGTGGTATGAAGGAAATATTGCTGACCTGAACAAACCGTGAGTTGTACTCACGAAAAATACTGAATTTAATTCTTTTCAATATACCTATAGGGATAAAAGTAATGGAAATACACCATTCAGTTGTTGCTCGAGAAAATCCCTATTTCCTTGCATACATCATGATATTGAAAACACTGGTGAGACATACTTGTATGTCCCTGAAAGAAATCTGAGCATTTCTACTAATGGGTGTCATACCAATTTATTAAAGGCCAAAATACAGTTTGGGTGGAACACTATACTGAACTTGTTTGCACTACTATTAGTTGAGGTAAAAAAACTGAATAAGAGCTACATTAATTTTTATACCGTCTTCGCAAGGTAAAAAAAAGGTAAAATTTTACCTTTTTTTTACCTTACGAAGACGGTATAAAATTTACTGTCAAGGTAAGTAAAAAGCTTGAAAATTGGTTGTAATGCACAAGCATGTGCTAGCTAAAATATTATAATATAATTTTTTTTAAACCTAAACCATTTTTGAGATAAAGAATAAAGTAAAATGCTGCCTCACAAAATATTTAACATCAATTTTGATCAAGATAATGAAGCTTCAATTCATTGTTATTAAATATATAAATGCCTATACAAGGTGTCCCTATAATGCCTGTATAAAACATTTTTCTGAGACCAAAATAAGGCGATATAAATTTACCTCTACATCAGTGTTGCCAACCCAAAATCTTTCTAGGAGGTAGATATGATTTTAAAAGTTGATAGTTTCCAACAAATCTTACGTTGAAAAGTGAGTAGATCTACCACCTATACTTTTCGAGTATTCTGAGACTCTAGTAAGTAAAAAATCTGGCACTCTAAATTTATTTTTTGATGAATAAAAAATATTTCAAGTATTTTCATAAAAAAATCAATGAAAAAGCAAAGTTACAAATTGCCAATATTCAAAATAAGAATAGAAGAAGGTAAAAAATTTAAGAACAAATTATGAGAATTATCAAATTATAAATATGCGCTTGGGTTGTTTACTCAAATTAATTAATTAAATATTTATAATCTGGAATTATTAAATTATGATATGGTAGACTATATCGTAATTTAATAGTATACAACCCAAGTGCTTATTTATAATGAAGCAAAAGATCATATTTTTGAAAATGGAAAAAGGGTAAAAATATAGGAAAAAAGTATAGCTTTTTTATTATTCTATTCTTTAAAAGAATACATATTTTGATTGAATATTTTATAATCTTCTTTAGTAGATGTAGGTTGCTCAGCACTTTTGTTGATAAGTGGTATAGAATCTATACTATAACGTAACGTAACGCCTTCTATTATCTATATATAGATAATAGAAGGCGTTACAGTAACGTAAAGCCATTGAAATTTGTTAAATGTAAAGTATAAAAAACACAACGCATTTTTACCACTTCACGGAAATAAAATTAAAAAATTTAAAAAGTTGGTAGATTTTTCTTGTCAAGTAGTAGATTTAAGCAAGACACTAAAAGTTGGTAGATCTACCGAAAAGTTGGTAGAGTTGGCAACCCTGCTCCACATTTCAAAACAAATGAAAATATCTCGGCGCCATCTAGCAACTCCCACACCAACTAAACTACAGATTCCTGTTTTAACGTTTAGCATAGCATTTCAAGACATTTCAAGGACACCTTGTACATTCGCATTTTCCAAATATTTTAATATTTATTTTAGATAAGGTCCGAATTAAAAATATGTATTTTTTAACAAAAGAAATATTTTAGTTGATAGCAAGTTGTCTGGCGAGATTTATACAGACAGCGCATTTTGGAGCAAACTGCTTTTTTGAAAGAGAAGACATAATTTATACAATATGGATTTTTGGGTTATATAGGGGTAAAATAATGGTCTCGGATGATGCCCCTGAGCCACCCCCTCTCCCATCTGAGCTAATCAATTAAAAAAACGCATATTTATAAGATATATTTTTATTAATTATTATTTCTTATTAAACATTTTAGCACCCTTTCTTGCCTTCATAATTTTATCTTTAAGAGCAGCAATATCCACTTTAGTGTCGACATTAGTTTTATTTTTCGAAGTGGTGGGTTCTTCCGGCGGGATAAAGGCCTCGTTTCGTTTTTCTTCGCGCTTTTTGGCCGCTTCTGCGTGTTTGTCATCCTTTTCTTTTTGTTTTTTGACCCTTTTTTGCTCTTTGTTGAGGAAGAACTCTCCCGAGGCCAATTCTTTGTCAACCTAAGTAAAAAAAAATTGTTGTATAATTTTTCACTTTTATATGTTTAAAAATATGGATTATAAATAATAAAATAAAATTTACCTTGCTTTCTGAATGGGAAGGAGGGAAGGGAGTATATTCTTTCTTCTCTTTCTTCTTTTTGGGTTGTTTCCTTTTACTGATATTTTTATTAACAAATTTGGGCAAAAACCTCTCCCAATTCTCGTTTTTCAACTTTGGGTCCTTTGCCAACTCCCGTTTTATCATAAGCGCTTTAATATTGTATATTGGGTGTATGTTCTTCATTGTGTCCTCAACAATTTTTCTAACCTGTTGTAAACCTCTGTAAGGCCCCAAAGCCGACACTGTCTGTCCTTGTACCAACACATAACAATTTGTTAACAACTCTATTGACTTTAATGTACACCCATTTGGCCCTATTATTCTCTGTCTCCGTTTGACAAACTTCTCTTTATTCCTCGTCAATTTACCTATTTTAATTATGTCACAGCCCACATCATCCTCCAAAACCCTCTTAGCCTGCTCGAAAGGCACACTTCTAGACAGCAATTTGATCATATCCCTCGCTTTAATAATAATATACGGATCCCAAGTCTTACGTGTGGTTTTTACAGTCATACTACCCTCAACTACATCCAACTCAGCCTTCACATGATGCTCCTCCAACGCCTTCTGCACCAAAGGCCAAACTTGCCTTAAATATTGCTCTCTGTACTGAGGAAACAATGTTGCAAAACTACTTTCTTCAATCAAACCATGAGGGTTATGTTCTGGCTTGAATTCCGGCACCTTTAATTCCCACGCATTTTCCACAGGTCCTGTGTTAACTTGCGACTCGTCGTCGCTGTTTTCCCCCATTTTTAACGACTACACGTGAATACGACTGTAAATAAAACTGTGAGGTTATGTCGCAACATGCCAAACGTCAAAGCAGGAATCTGCAGTTTAGTTGGTGTGAGAGTTGTTAGATGGCGCCAAGATGTTTTCATTTGTTTTGAAAATGTCGTTTTATGTAAAACTTTGTAAAAAGTGTTCTGTGTAGTGTAATTTCCCATGAAAAAGGTAGAAAATTTGTCATTAAAGTCAATGGGTAAGTTATTTTAAACATTTGATACAAAACAACTTTAAATTTCTGATTGTGAGAGCGTAAATAAAAAAATACATTTAGAAAATTGTTGATCAAATCGGGCTTGTAAATAAATGGCTTGGTTTGTTTATACAATAATTAAATTGCTTTTAAAACTAGATTTTGAATCTAGATATTGCGGTGAATTATTGTGCTATCATGATAGGCAAAATAATTTGGAATTTTTTAGATTAATTAATTAATTAATTAATTAGAAGAATTTGATCATTATTTATGTAAATTTGTTTCTTTTCGAAAACCTACCTATTATTTAGTATAATAAAAGATCAATATTGCTTTAATAATAAATGGCATTTATGACAGATAAGGTTTGACAGTTAATTAGCTTATCAAGTGGTCCAATCAAAGTAAAGGTTATTTTTGCAAAGGTAATACGACCTACCCAACAAGAATCCCTTTATAGGCATATCTTTTTAGATAGGTAGTATACTATTAATATAGCAAAAGTAATTAATACTTTGCCGAGATAAATACCAATAAATAATGAACTTGATTTATTATTATCTGTTTATTTTCTAATATCCACCTACTATGCTGTTTTCGCATAACTTCTTAATTAAAAGTGATGTGATCCTATTAATTTTACGTACCTAGGTACGATTTCATAGATGGATGGTAACTTTATATGTTTAATTGCTACAATTTATTAAGTTAACGATAATCCTTGTATTTTTATTCGGTAAATTATTGTAAATTATACCCAAGTGATTATATCGTATCATTTCCTGTGGGATAATGATTTTTAGTTTTTATGTACATTAGTTGAAAAACTAATGGTGGATAATTATTGGCTAATTAGTTAATATTACAAAAACCCGTAAATGTTAAATAATTTTATTAGAGTTTTTTTTTCCACAAAATTCGTTATTTCATCTAAAGAAATCCTTTTTTAAAATCTTTACTGCGTTTTTTACCTAGGTACTAAAATGATTTTAGTAAAATTCTATAGGCCTATTATAATACTAACAATTAACATTTTTGTTCCATCATTTTCTCAATATTAAACAAAATTGACGTTCTAATTATTAAAATCCAACGATAAATAAACTTGATGACATTTTTGGGCCACCGAAATGATGTGGGCAGTAGGATTTGTTATCGAGTGCCTACGTATGTAACAAAAGAGAACAAGTAAGACTTAAACAAACTTAACGACAACAATTATTATAAATGCTTTTGTAGACTAGGTTACTAACCATGCATGAGTTTGCTCCCAACTATCACGCAATCAATTTCTTATCTTACGTCGACGTGGAATCTTAAGGACGGATAAGTTTTATTAACTTGTTGTTTGTAGTTTTTTGGTGGTTGGCGGTAAAAATAAAAATTGTCAGTTTTCAGTCAAAATTTAAATTTACCTGGGATATTTTTTTTTTGTTTACCTACTACAGTTGGTAACTTTGATTTAGTATTTTTAGTATTTAAAAAATGGTACTTCTGCTAAAGACCTTAATTAAATACTCTGTCAAATTGACAGTAACATTTATTATTGATAATTTACTTGTTAATTATTATAATATCGATATAAAAAGATAACTATGTCAAAAATATTATCAGGTTCTAAAGTAAAAGATCTTTTAAGGGCAAAACTTAATTTCGATAGAGTTATGCCAAATGCCTCAATGGCAGAAAAAGTATATCGCCTTAAGGACATTTTTGGCGTAAAAAAGTAACGTTTTTGGTTATACAAATATTAAATCACACATTATTTTCAGCTAAGCAGATCAAAAATTTTTGAAATTTTAAAAAATAAGGGGGAAATAATAAAACAAAAAATAAAAATTATTTGCTGTTAGGTTCAAGCTTTTTGTAAAAAATGTAGTAGTTAATTTTCCTGTCTTTGAAAATAGCATCCATTTGGTTTGAAAAAGATAAGCAATAATTACAAAACTTTTTCTTCTTTCAATTTCCTAAAATCAGGAGCGCTGCACAGTGGACTGGAAGGTTATAAAAACTGTAAATCTTTAAACTTTTTTTCAACATTTAAGGATTGCAAGATGTCATTAGTAAGTATTTAAAAAAATGTAAAAAAACTTTAATTTCCTGCATTTTTAAGTAAGATGTACTTATTTATTAAAATGATTTAACTAATTTTGTATAGGTAATATGGCCCTGAGTCTAAGAAACAAGTATCCATTAGTTGCAGATCTTGATATTTTTCTAGTATGATGTTTTCTAGAGTATTTAAAGTCCTTGTTCCTAGACTCCTCCGATAATTAAAATTAATCCTACTTAAATTAATTGATTTAATTTTTTTTAAGAATTCATATTATATATTATTTGTTGGTAATTTATGTTTTAACTATAAAATTAGGAACATAAAAAAATATATTTAAAATCTATTAATTTTACAGTAACAGCCAATTAAATTTGAATAATTTTAAATAAAGCAAAGTGCTGAGTTTGTGCATCACTACATCAAAGCCTTATTTATTTCCGCGGTCGGATCCAAATTTTATATGGTCTTGTTCACAAGATTTTGGCTTAAAATTCGTATATAATTGAATCGGTGATAATAAGAACAGTACAAGTCTAAACATTTAATTTTGAGTCATTATTTAAAATTAATTTTAAAGTTCAAATACATTTTTGTGAGAAGATATAAATCATTTTACAGAATATGAACATTATATTATATAAAATGGTTAAAATATTCCCACAAAAATGCATTTATAAAACTAATTTTTGAAATATTTTGTCAAAATTTTGACTTTTGGACTTGTACTGTTCTTAATCTCACCGATTTAATTAAAGAAGCTAGATTTTCAAAAAAAAAAAACTTCAAAATTAAAAATTGATAATTTTTCATCACTTCATCACAATTTTTTTTTATAGGTGAACATTTTTAATTTTTATAAATAAAACTTGAAATTTTAAGGTTTTTTCTATCAACATCAATTTAGATTTTCTTAATTGTAAAAAGACCTACTCCCTAAAATTGAATTAGTCAAAAATGACTAATTTAATAGTTATTAGTGGCTGCTTTTTCACTTGTACCATGGTTAACCATGGAATACCATGGTATCCCAAAATTTAACAGCCAATTCTTATGTAAAATTGTCCCCTGTCAAAAGTTAAAAAAGTAGATCAGTTTTTCCATTTAATATGAAATTGACTATATCTCAAAAACTGCTCCACTTATTTTCGGATTCAGGGGACAATTTTACATAAGAATTGGCTGTTAAATTTTGGGATACCATGGTATCAAGTGAAAAAGCAGCCACTAATAACTATTAAATTAGTCATTTTTGACTAATTCATTTTGAGAGAGTAAATTGTGTTTTTGGCCGTTCACTGGCGATTCTGGTCCACTTTCCGTTGATTGTTTGATTTGTAAACACGGTATACCGAAACGCTACCAAAACAGCAGACAAAAAAAAATGGAGGGCAAAATCGAAAAAATGGACTGGAAAAATTTGGTCTTCTGGGTAAAAATTTCGACTTTCCACCGTTATCGGTTTTTGACCCACGGGAATTTGAGAAAAATGATTGAAGTAAACCCACAAGATAATTGCTTGAAAAGCTTAACGTAACAACCGCAGACAAATCCTCACCTGGACCATACGGCAACACGCGAGAGAGCAAAGAGGCAAAGACCAAGCACGGTGCTGTTCTAAGAGGTGATTTTTGGACTTTCTGTGAAACCTAATTTTTTTTATATTCTTGTTAATTAGGTCATAACTAAAATTTTAAGAGCAAAATAAAAAAAATTTGACGGTTTGAATTGTTTTAATTGGCTGTTTATTAAAAATATTATGCACTCTTTCAATTATCCAATTAAAACTAGCGATTTAATTTAAATATTTAATATTTGCATAACTAAAAAAAAGGTTCTTACATTTTTTTTTATATATTTTACTGTTTTGTTGCAATAAACGTTCAAACTTTTAATCTAACCTTTGACGTATACATTTATGTTCCCTTAATTAATATATCCTTAAAGGTTGCCATGAAACTTAGATCTATTAAAAATTTATTTGACGTTTGAATTGTCATTTTCAGTATAGGTATTCTATAATTTTTGTTTAGTTTTTTAAAGTGTTTTTTATAAACAAAAATGAAAAATTGTAGTAAAAGTTACGAAGAAATTCATGAAATTTAACTAAGGACCGGTTTATTCATCTTTAGTAAAGTTTATCGGGACGATAACTTTCATGTCTTGGCAATATCTAGTATCCAAAGAAATTATTCGTCAAATAAATCAAAAATGAATAAATCGGCCCTAAATAAAATGTGGCACCCTTAGAATTATTGTTTAATAAATGTATACTATACATTTAACCTTAAATTAAAACTTTAAACGTGTATTAGGTACAACAAAACAGTAAAAGATATAAAAAATGTATAGACCTTTTTTTAGGAAATTAACTAATCTTTAATCTGATTTAAAAAGTTATGATAATATTTAAATAAAATCGCAAGTTTTAATTGGAGAATTGAAATATTTTTAATAAACATCCAATTAAAACAAAATTAACCGTCAATTTTTTTTTATTTTGGTCTTAAAATTTTAGTTATGACCTAATTAACAAGAATATAAAAAAAAAATTAGGTTTCACAGAAAGTCCAAAAATCACCTCTCAGAACAGCACCGTGATATATTGCTTATAAACAAAGCACTTTAGTGATATGAACGTAAAAACCTTTTTTGTCAAAAATTAAATTTTCTACAACTTTTTTATTTAAACTTTTTCGGTAAAACCAGTCATTCGCTCGATTTTCTCAAAAATATGTGAAAAGAGTGAAAAACAAAACGTAAATAAATCAAAAACAAAATTGATGCAGGGCCTTTCAAAAACCGTGAATACTGCAGAAAACTATGGTGATAAAAATTATAATTCAAAACCCGGCCAAAATATAGAAATTTAAAGTAAAAATGATTAAAAATACATGCTTTTTATATCGAAAAACTACAAAATTAAAAAGGAAGTACTTAAAATCAAAATTAAGGGCTCAAATTTTCAGGTAATTTTTTTTTCAACCTAAAAAACAAAATTTTCATGTGTCAGCAAGAAAAAAAAAATTTTCGGTTTAAATTAAACACTCTAAATTAGAGTCTCTAATGTATAAATACATAAGAAATAAATTATTTTAATACATTGACAAGCATTATTTATGTTTTATACGTTTACATTACAAAAAACTCAACTTTTCCATCTTTTCCAACTTTTCATGAAAAGTTGCAACCCTGGGTAAAAATTCCGAATTTCCACTGTTATCGGTTTTCGGCCCACGGGAATTTGAGAAAAATGATTGAAGTAAACCCACAAGATAATTGCTTGAAAAGCTTAACGTAACAACCGCAGACAAATCCTCACCTGGACCATACGGCGACACGCAAGAGAGCAAAGAGGCAAAGACCAAGACACACACACCTCAAAGACCATCGTCGGGCGAGCCGTCGCGTGGTGTATCGCCCTGCGAAACCGGTCGCGGCGGTGTCCGCTCGGGCCGGCATCAGCAGGAACGACAGCAGCAGGAGCCCACGACCATGCCAGAGCGGGTTCAGTAGTCTTTGGACCGGTGCGAGGCGAAGACGACGCCAGAGACACGCGCCGCGCAGTGCAGTTTTAGTGCGCGTAACACGTCGCTCTACCCCAGCATGCTGCACTTGCTCCTGCTGCTGGCGGTAGCGTGGTCTTCAGACCCCGCGGCGGGCCTGATGCAGGACGTTCAGTCGGCCGCCCTTTGCCCCCTGCTGGGCGACGAGGGATGCCGGTGCACGCACGATCTGCACGAGTTCTACTGCAGGACGGCGGGGTTCAAAAAAGTGCCCGACAAACTGCCCGTCTCCCTTACCAAACTGTGAGTGAACCATTTAAAAACAACCTCAGTGCCAGTTTTGTAAACTGTTTTAAAGTCATCAATAAATTATAATAAAAAAAAAAACTACAAGAATACCGATTTAAGCCGAAAAAAACACATGTGCAGTAGGTTGTTTCAAAATAAGGCAATATTTTTTTTCTTCAAATTAATGTGACATTCTCGTCACTTATGCTAAAAAAAATCTGTCAAAATTTGAGCTCTTAATATAAATTTTAAAAGGTCCATCATCGAACTTAAAGTTTGGACTCTGTAAGATTTTTTGTAGATAATTTAATGCTAAAAAAGGACCAGTGATTGTTTATTAAAAAAAAGTTCTACATAGCATGCAGCGAAATAAACCTTAAAAAAAGTATTTTTCCATGTTAAATCAAGTGACGAGAATTTCACATGAATTTGAAAAAAGAAAAATACTGCCTTATTTTGAAACACCTAGTCTGCAGACATCTAGACGGTCTTAATTAATATTTTATTCAAGAAAACATTAAGGATTTCTTAATTGAAAATTAATATTTGTCACAAGAAGAACGATTAACTATACAAATTTTTCAATGACTTACATACAAACAAAAGCTGTTTATTAGTAAAAAAACAGATAGTTACTTAATAAATTAGCCTATAAACTGATTTTACTAAAAATCTCCATTACTATTATTTGCATTATTCTCTATAGAGTCCTCTCTAAAAATGTCGTCAAAAGTTATAAAAGTAGAACAGTTTTTGAGATATAGTCAATTTTCCATATAATATGGAATCGACTATATCTCAGAAACTGCTCTACTTTCATAATTTTTTTTTTCGGATTCTGGGGACAATTTTACATAAAAATTGTCTGTTAAATGGGGATACCATGGGGTATTTCCATTGTAACGGGTGCGACACTAAAACTGCGTTTTTTTATGATAATAACGTGTTTGTTCATTCAGGACGACAGGGTTCAAAAAAGTGCCCGACAAACTGCCCGTCTCCCTTACCAAACTGTGAGTGAACCATTTACACGGACATCTAGACGGTCTTAATTAATATTTTATTCAAGAAAACATTAAGGATTTCTTAATTGAAAATTAATATTTGCCACAAGAAGAACCAGGTGTTAATCTTAACTATAAAAATTTATCAATGACTTATGTACATTAGGGTGGTCCTTATTTAGGGTGTGTTCGAATTTTTCTTCCCGATAGTCCTAAATAGGTTCCAAATATATAAAAAAAATAATGTGACAAATTGCAGCTCTTAATTTTAAAATTAAGCCGGCCCCCCCGACAGCCAAAGTTTTAAATGGGAATAACATGGGACAAGTTCTGTTATTACTTTGGATTCATTAACTTTTAAACGGATTATATAGAAGAATAAATATTCTTGCAACAAATTTAACGCTCTACAAAAAAGGTTTCTTGTGACTTTTTGCTAACTTGACTGGTTCAAAAGTTATTTGAGGTCAAAATCAAAGTTCTAGTCAATTCCATGGTTTTTCCATTTTTATTGTGGTTTGATTATTCAAAAATGTAAAAAGGGTTATAATTTATATTCTAGATGACTTTTCTTATCTTGACGTTTGCTCTAAAAAGAAAAATATTTATTGATTAAATATTATTAAAATTTCAATGGATTCAAAAAAATACCAGATGGTAAGGCGGTCGCTTGGCATGCTAGAGGTACCGGGTTCGATACTACTAGAAGTTGTCGAACTTTTTTTATTTTATAAATTTGTTGTTCCTTTGTTAAAAAGTGTTGGGTTGGGTTGGTTGGTTTGTTTTAGTTTTATCGTAACATAACAAACCTTAAAATTATGACGTCACTCGGGACTAAACTTAAGTCCCGCCTCGGGACGGGAGCCACAGCAATGTTTTTTTTAAGAAGTTTGAATTTAAAACTAGAGTTTATCAAAATTTTTACCAATTAAAATCAAAATCTTTTAACAATACCTATGTCCAAAATATCTTGCGTATCCCAAAATTTAAAAAATCCTTAAAAGTTACGATAGTGCAAAAATAAAAAAAACAATTGGTGTAACTAACTTTTTAGTGTCACGATTACCCTGAAAGTTTTCTAAAAAATAGAACCATCTAAAATATAAATTATAACCCTTTTTACATTTTTGAATCATTAAACCACGTTGAAAATGGAAAAAAAACATAGAATTGACTAGAACTTCCATTTTGACCTCGAATAACTTAACTTTAACCTATTTAGGACTATCGTGAAGAAAAATTCGAACACACCCTAAATAGGGACCACCCTAATGTACATACAAACAAAAGCTGTTTATTAGTAAAAAAATAAACAGATAGTTACTCAATACATTACCCTATAAACTGATTTTACTAAAAATCTCCATTAGGTACTATTATTTGCATTATTCTCTATAGAGTACTCTCTAAAAAAAGAAATAAAAAAATCACTAATTGTCATAGCGAAAAAGTAGCCACTTTTATTAGTTAATTTCCATGTAAAATTACCCCCTGAATCCGAAAATGTCGTCAAAAGTTATACAAGTAAAACAGTTTTTAAGATATAGTCAATTTTCCATATACTATGGAGTTGACTATATCTCAAAAACTGCTCTACTTTCATAATTTTTGATTTTACATAGAAATGTTCTCTTAAATGGAAATACCATGGTATCCCATGGTTAACCATGGTACAAGTGAAAAAACAGCCACTAATAACTGTAGTACAAGAAATACAAGAAAACATTTTCAATTAAAAATTGCCACAAAAAACCAGGTGTTATTACCTTAAACGCTTAACTATAGAAATTTATCAATGACAGATTGTTACTCAATACATTGCCCTGTTAAGTGATTTCACTAAAAATCTTATAATTTTATGAAATGTTTTTGACATTATTATATTATACTTAATGCAGTTCTTGACCTCCACTATGATAGTACTACATGTCAACTACAAAAAATACAGAGAGCTATATCAGGTTAAAACTTGTGCCCTTTCACATTTGGAAAAGTTTTGCCAATAAATGTACAATATAGGATTTTTTATTCCTATGATTTTTGTGCATTTGCGATGGCCAAAAATAAATGATCAGTTGTGCCCAATAATATACAAAAGCAGTTTGGATTAAGTTGGGTAGGTTTCCGTTGAGTTAATTTTGGGAATGTTTGAGCATGGAAAAACGATGACAAATTTTTTATGTTTATTTGGGCTTTTGAAAAATTGACCAATGACATAATATTGATAAATATATGAACAAATATTACAATTATATTTGAAAGAATATTACTAAACACAAAAAAAATCACATTTACTTATAACATTGTCACATACTTAGGCACTGTAGAATTTCTTCAAAAAGAATAATATTCATATATAAACCTAAGAAAGATACGAAATTCTGAGTCTACCAACTACAATGTGTTGACTGCCTATAAAAGCTTACACAGGCCAGAATTTTAAAACCAGAATTAATGAACATAGAAAATCTTTTATTAATCAAAAAACAGATTTAACTTATGCCAACCATTAATTTTAAGAAAAGCACTCATTTAACAATACGTTCAAAATTTTACATGTTGCAGATATAGGTTAAATTTACTAGAAATTAATAAATTGAACTGAAGAAGCGAAACAATGTTTGTTTTTTATCTAGTTATACATTAGAGTCTTGATTAATACTTTATTCAAGATATCATTAAGGGTTTTTTAGGTGGAAATTAACATTTTCCACTGAAAAAAAAACAGGTGTTCTTACCTATAACAATTAACCATAGATTTACTAAAAGGCTATTAAACGATTTTTAGATTATTTGATAGACTACATAATATATTAGATCTTATAGCAGTTCTCAACCTTCGCCACATGTCATCTACAATTTTCCACTACAAATAACAACATATTTAATTGGGATTTTTCCATTTAAGCCACTAATTACGTTTAATTGCGATATTGTTGTTTCATCTTGAACAATTCTTTAAAGAAGCATCGGGTATATAAGTAAGAGAAAAAATGTGAGTCATCGTCGTTGTTTTCCCTTTTTTGGATTCTCGTAAAACAGTTACATTCGCAAAAAGTAAAAAGTGTATAAACGGCCTTTTATTACCCACTGGGTTTTTATGTAATAAATAACAGGAATTTTGTATTCTAAAAATGCTTACCATAAATACTATATTTACTATTAAACAAGTCAAAAATCAATGTTTATACACTAAAGTACATATATAATTTACATTATTTTTAAATTTAAACCTAATAACATTGATAAGAATGCTGAAATTTGCAAGGAACAAGTTTTCAGATTTTAATTTTGTATGTAAATACTAATTAAAGAAACGGCCAATATTTAATTGTAAAAATGCCAATTTTATATTTTATATGGCACATTTATTGCACACGTTGGCAAATCTTAAGTTTTAGAACAAAATTACCTAAAATTATTATTATAATATTTGTTCCCCTAAAATTGTAACAACCTTGAAAACTATGTTTATAGGACCAGAAGTTAATATTTCTATGTAGGTAATCTATAATAGTAAATAAAAATTAATTAAAATATCTTATGAAAACGTAATTAAAAACTAACCTAGATTACAAATTCGGTGGAACATACATAGATACAATTTTATCTACACATGTCGATTATTTTGTATGTCAAAATCTGATAAAGTTTAAGTCGGTTCAATTATTTTATTTATTTTATGTTAATTTATGTAATAGGAATGATATATGTGGAATGACTTATCTTTTTAGCCACATTTAGCAATCGGCAAACGCATTGTTTTATGTATTTCTGTCGGTAGCATAACCTAGTAAATAAATATCAAGTTAAACATAAATTTACTGTATTAATGGCATTAGAATGGTAAAAATCTGGCGATCATGTTAAATGGTGTTCTGTCCACTCACAAATCAAATCTACCCTCAGTCAAAAATGACTAATTTAATAGTTATTAGTGGCTGCTTTTTCACTTGTACCATGGTTAACCATGGAATACCATGGTATCCCAAAATTTAACAGCCAATTCTT